AAAGTAAGAAAACTCATGAGCTGAGATAAAGACAGTTTAATAGGTAAAGCAAAAGCTGCACACACAAGCAAAGCAAAACAAGGAATTCATTCACTCCTTCCCATCGGCAGGCAGGTGTTCAGCCATCTCCAGGAGAGCAGGGCTCCATCACACGTAACGCTTACTGGGGAAGACAAAACACCATCACTCCAAACATCCTCCATTTCCTTCTTCTTCCCCCAGCTTTATAAGCTGAGCATGATGTCATATGGCATGGAATATCATAGATTCATATAGTGCTTTGGGTTGGAAGGCACCTTTAGAGGTCATCTCGCCCAACCCCCCTGCAGTGAGCAGGGACAGCTTTAACCAGATCAGGGTGCTCAGAGCCCAATCCAACCTGACCTTGAATGTTTCTAGGGATGGGGCCTCCATCACCTCTCTGGGCAACCTGTTCCAGTGCTTGACCACCCTCATTGTAAAAAATTTCTTCCTTATATATCCCTTTGGTCAGTTGGGGTCAGCTGTCCCAGCTGCGTCCCCTCCCAGCTTCTTGTGCACCCCCAGCCTACTCGCTGGTGGGGTGGGGTGAGAAGCAGAAAAGGCCTTGACTCTGTGTGAGCACTGCTCAGCAGTAACAAAAACATCCCTGTGTTATCAACGCGGTTTTCAGCACAAACCCAAAACGTAGCCTCATACTAGCTACTGTGAAGAACATTAACTATATCCCAGCCAAAACCAGCACAGAGCTTTGGCTATCCCTAGGAAAGCCACCGAGGAACACAGCTTATCTCGCTACGGACGTAAGCAGCCTCTCCCACACTTCAGCCCCGCTGTCCTTTGGGTTGATTGTTCAACAGCCAGCTCAAACACAGGCTTACCTTGTATTCACCCCTCCTTCCACAACTTCTCTCTCTTATTTACTAATGGAAATCAGACATTAGGTCTGTGTCAGAACAAAAGACTAAGTCCATCCCTCCAGAATGTCAGGATAATTTTTTGGTATTTTACTTTTAATCACAATTTACCGTATTTTACCTCAGTTCTGAGTGGAGAAACCCAACAACCTTGACTGATGTTAACTCCAACTCTGAGTAAAATGGTAACACTCACTGAGGAATTAGCTTCCACAGAAAAGCAAACACTGGTTCCTGCAACTTAGTTTTCCAGAAGCTTTTTTTTATTCTTGGTGAAAACAGTTAAATATGCATCACCTTGTGGATGTTCATCAAATGACACTTCCCACACCAAAGGTCCTCCACCAAGAGACTCTCCATATTCTCTTAGGTAAAACAGGCTGCTTTTACACTTTACTGTGATTTTAAACACAATTGCAAACATTTTATATGATTTCAAACCATTCCACTTAGAAAACTCTGCCCAAAGGACCAAGGGTCCCCAAAGTCCTATCAAGTGTTCACTGGCTGTTACACATCGGTTTGCACTGGGGAGCTTCCCTGGAGAGTCACTGTTACGGACATTTGGATGTGGAGACAGTCATTGAAGCTCCACACAAGCCAGTTAGCTGGAGGTTAAAATAGCAGGTAGGTTTTATTAAAAAGATGAAGGGCATGGGTGTCACTGGGCAACCTTAAACAATTAGTAGGTCCTATACACTGCAGTGCTCTCTTTGGCAGTTACACTGTTTATTTCTTCTTCCTCAAAAAAGGGAGAGATTGCAGTGAAAACATAATTTAATAATTTAATCAATTCAAAGCAAAATGAAAATAAATAAAAAGAAACCCCACACACTACTTTATCCACTTTGCAAGAACCCTACAGGTTCTCCCCCAGCCCTTAGCAGTCCTGCAAGCCAAGGAGCTACCCATCTCCTCCCTCCCAGGTGGACCACTGATTTTAATTCCCCATCCCCACCTCTGGTCTGACACACCACTCAAACCAACCTACTCAAGCTGTCAGAATAGTCCAGCTTAATTTTCTCCAAAAGAAATGGAGTGCGAGCAGACGGCAACCACAGCGGGAAGGAAGAAAAATAAAAAGCAAAACCGGACAAGACAGAGTTACATTCTGGACCTGCATCCCATGTTACACTCTGGACGTGCATCCTATTCTCTCCTGCGACAAACTACAAACATGTCTGCAGCTAGCAGATGATACACAGTAGCTGTTGTCTTAAAAAAAAAAAAAAGTACAGAGTGTCACAAAAGCAAAAAAGGCTGTAGAATTCGAGTCTACATGGAGGAGGAATGAACAAGTTTTCATTCCTGAGACCCCTAGCTTTTATACCTTTAAGAAGAATAAGGCAGCAAACACTATTTTTCCTCTGCACATCAGTAAAAAGCTAAAATAATTAGGATCACCAGTCTAGGATCTTGCCTCACTATGTAAATGCCCAATGTATTAGGAATTAAAAAAATTAAGGTGGATTTCCCTGAATACCTGACAATGTTGCAGCAGAAAGCACATTTGAGTAAAGACCCCAAAATGTGTTAAGCCTATTTTTCCTTCAGGCAAATGCTATTTTCTTATCATCTCAGCCTTGGGAAGTTTACAGAGAGTAGTAAATCTTACCTTTACACATCAGTACCTAATCAACATACTCTATACTCCTCTCCCAAGTCAAAATATACTTTACTGCTTCAAAGAAATCCAAAAAGACAAGCACATGGCCCTTAAGTAAAGAAGGCTACAGGGAAGTACTACCTTACTCATCGTATATTCACAAATGACTAGTATGTGCAAGTTTATGTCAAAATATGGCCACTACTAGCCATAGCTGGACAGTTCATGGGCTCCGTGGTACCACCAAGAGGTTCAGTAGGGTTTCTGGAATAGAGATTCAAACAATTTAGGGGCAGTAATAAATAGACAAACAGTCATTTTATGAAGATTTTAAACCAGAATTTCTTATATTTTAGCTTTTAAATAACAATTGCCTTTGGTTTCCTAGTCAAGAGGATAATATAGATATAAACTAGACTTCTGTCTTCATAAAGAGCATAATGCTAATCAAGTCAATCTGCAGCACACATGTATATTTTTGACCACACTTATGTTTAAGTTACCTTTAAAAAAGCAGCCCCCATGCCTAAAAAGTTGTCCTGGGTAAAAAGTCACATGTTTTTCAGTAGGGTATTAGAAGTTCTTGTGGTTTCTGAAGAAGCTTTTTTTCCATTTTTCCAAGCAAGGTGTCTGATCCCATTGTCTTCAATGATGCTTTGTCTGACTAAAATCTATGGTTAACAGGATTGGCTCACCACACAGTTGGCCACATGCAGCTGAGCAGCAAGACAGTCTACCTTTTCATCATACAGGTGGAAAAACTCAATAAGCAAGAAATTTCTTAAAATACTTAGTCATGCAGCTTCCATCAGACCGATACAAATCACCTGGTTAACACTCTATTTTCAAGAATAATACATATATTTAAAAACTGAAGCCTTTGAGTTAGAAACAAAGTCGTAACTTGGCTTCTCTTGTCTGTTCTGTTCTTTGATAACCACCACAATATCTTTAGAGTGCTGGTATATTTATGAGATTCAAACCAGCCAACAGGTGGCTTTACAGTAACAACTAAGATTCCCATTCATTTAATGAAGTAACACCCAGCACCACCACTATTATAAACTCTAGTAAGCATCTCTGCATAGCTATGAATATCTAAATACCTTTTGAAAACCAGGCCAACGTTCTCAGGAATGCTTAGAAAGACATTCAGAACACAGTGATATAGACAGACTATCCAAATCCCACAGCCAGGAACACAAAACGATGAAATAGCTAGGGTCAGATTCCCCTTTGCTCAGAGGGCCTGCAGCAGTTTGCATTGCTTAGCCTTATTCAAGTCCTCAAAACAGAGTTCACATTAAAAGACATAAAATGGCTGCAAGGCAAATTAATACAATCGAGGTCACATAAGGAACACAGCTGCCAAATAAGGTAGTTCCTTGTCCATAAAGTATTTTCCCATGAATTACGAAGTTTTGGTACAGCAGGGTGAATTTTTAATAGTACACTAACCACAGAAAGCTCTTATTTTCAAAAAGCATTGTCAAAATACATCTTTTAAAGACCATTTAAGCTTTAGGTTTCCATAATCTGTTTTTTTTAAAGCAGAGTGCATGCAAATTGCTTGCAGCACGTCTATTTGGGGGATTATTTCAACAGCCTATTCTTGGGTAGCCGACTTGTAATGTTTCAACGTGCGAGCTGAAGGATCAGTAGCTTTAACCCATCTTGGCATCCAGTAGTGGGGCAGCCAGCTGCTTTGCCCTGAGTAGTGCTTTTCAAAGATCTGGCGGTAGTAATAACTTTCTTTCGTTTTAGGAGGATTGAAAGGATATTTCTCCGCTGCCTTTTCCAGCAGAAGGTCATCAACCTATAGACATAAGCAAAACCCAAGTTAAGCTGCAAATACATTTAACTTTTACAAGACAATTTGCTGCAAGTTAAAGACAGACAAGGATTCACCAACCACTGAATGCCCATAGATTTAAAAAAACCCAACCAACCAAACAAAAAAACCCAACACAAAACAACCTCTTTTCTAGAGGCAGAGGTTTCTGACAGGTGAATTTTTGTCATAGGCTCCCTTGATCTTTATGAATACATAACTATACATAACTATATTTCCAGTGCTGTTAATATTTCTCTCTGCATTATATGTGAAGCCCCTCTTTGGGTTACAATCACCTTTGTTAGTAAGCTCACAAAAACTTCTCTCCTATCCTTCTCTTTGCTGTGAATCAACTGGAACAACTTAAAGAAGTCTTTTTGCCATGCAAGTGGCTTCCTGGTTTTTTTTAAAAACACAGAGCTGTTGACTCTGCTTGTATAACCAAGCTCTTAGCAACAAAAGACCTGGGATGCAAAGACACCTGCAGTTGCTAAGTTGCCTAAGAAAGGGAAGATGAATAGTTGCACCAGCTGAGGCACTTTCTAAAGCAGCTAGCCTCCACTGTCAACATGCTGTCTAACTCCTCACAGCCATGAAATAAATTTGCCCCTACTACACCAATACAGGCTCAGTACAGGCAGCACAACACTGTTGCCTGACCCAACTACTTTCTTGCGTGTGGATATAGAGAAAGAAAATGGGAAACAAGCAGTTGGTGGCAGGACAGACAAGCACCTGCCCACAAGCCAGACTACACATATTTCTGTAGAACAGAGCTCTGGTGTAAACTGGGTGTTATTCTTTCCTCTCGATGATTAAACTACCTCTGTACAGCAGAGATGATTATCCTTTGTCCAAAGCCAAAATGCTGTAAGTCTTCATTGGTTAGCAATGCAAGCAGAGGCGTTAAAAAGCAGAAGGGCTTAGCTAGGCATGGCTGGGAAAAAAGGAATGACATAAACAAGAAAGGACATTATGAAGTTATTATGCTGTTACTCAGATGCAGAGTAAGTCCATGCAAGTGCCTTCAGCGGAAGCAGCTGCTTTGCATGTAACCCTCAAATTGTGTTTGCCGACACACAACCTAATTTGCAATCCAGATACTTATATGATGTTCATTTCCTTGGATTTCAAATGCCTTTAACCAACTCAGATGGCTAGAAGACCGTTGATTAAAGTTTATCTTGCTTCTCCACCATGAAGCTCCAGTTACTGTCATCCCCAGATTTATTCTTCCAACTAAGCATGTGAGCTGCCTCCCCTTGGCAGCCGTATCTAATAAGCCTAAATGTGAAAGACAAGGGGGAAAAAAAAGTGGTATTGTACCTGTTGATCAATATAGTCCTGAAGAATAGAAAACCAGGATTTCTTCACTGATGCTATACCATCACTGAAAGCTTCTTTGGGTCTCCAGAGTATTTCTTTGGGAAGCAAGTTGGAGTCTTCAAAAGACTGTCTTAAAAGGTATTTTTCAATTCCATTCTGTTTGCAGAACAACAAACAATGTTGTGAGTCTCAGGAACTGCAGTACAAAGATCCAGTTTTAAACACTTAAGAAATGGTTTCCTTTCAGAAGGTCTGGTCAGAAAAGGGTTCCCAGTAGTCCAACAGGCCAGCAAAATATTTAAGAGCATGCTTGACTTTGGGTAGAGGACTTAACCATTGAATTCAGCAATTTGGTCGTGCTTAGAACACGCATCAGTGAATTTGTGAGCTTACACTTGGGTCTAACCCTAGTTTTACATACCTTTGGGATTCGCAGTTCTGCTGGTAGAGATAAATAATAAGCAGTAAACCGATGATCCAGAAATGGGACTCTCAGTTCAAGACTAAACAGGGGAAATAAATAGAAAAGATACTGAATTAATTCAACAAGTTATCTACTTACAAATTCCATAACAGTTAAGCTTTCCCCTGTCTTTTGCATAAACTCAAGGTTTTCTGCTTTTACTTAGAAGAAACTTCACTTGCATGTTCATGACTATCTGCATTTAATTAATCAATTTGGAAAGTTAAGAATATGGTCAGCACAGATTAATAAAGATCTTGATGATTTACGATGCCATCTACTGGACAGCTTCTCCTACAATGAATTTAAAGACTACAGTCCCGCAGGATTTGCAACAACTGTTGTTCCATGTAAGCAAAAACACATTGAAAAAAAATCCTGTTGCTCCCAGAGGACTACCAAGTTGCTCACTGGGATTTGCATCAGCATTTGTAAAGATATCACAGAACCAAGCAAGGGTTCTTGCTGTCATTTCTGAAATCCACATTTGTTTGTGTTTTCAAGAAACAACAAAAAGGAGCCTGCATGGACGCCACTAAGCTATTGACTACTGATCATGCAGCATTTGCACAACAAGCTCTCTCCTACACCAGTGGCAGATATACATGCACAAAGTCCTCCTGCTTACATTCACTTACTCATACGATGGCTTCTAAGGACACTGAAGGCAACAAATAACATTACAGGAACTGTGTCTTTGGTAGGAAGAAACCCTCTCAGTGTGTTTCCTTAAGAGACATTATGCTGCCCAGCTTCAAAGTCAAATGGAGATGTTATACTCCATTCTAGTAATTTCATTGTCTCTGTAGCTTCTCCTCTGATAAAACACTTCAACTACTTCAGGCAATAATCACCTTACCAATACAAAGCATCATCATTCAGCAATCAAGTACTGAGGCTCAGTTTCCACATACACTGACAAGATTTGCATTTCCCTACAGTTATTTTTTTCTAACTGATAAAGGTACTTTCATCCCTTCTCCCATCATTTCCTTTCTACTCTTAATTCCTCTCCCTTTTCTCCACAAATCTGAACACCTTAAATTCAGTTTTAATTTATTAATACAAGGGTTCTTTCTTCCTAGCAGTGCTGGGAAGTTGACCCGTTTCTCTTCAAGAAATGGCAACTCTCCAAAGAAGAGTGGCCAGAGTGTGATATCAAACAGCCTTGAATATGTGGCCAAACTTTTCAGCACAAAACAAATTATGAGGCAAATGGCAGGTCTCCTGCACCCTGTTCATCTTTTATATAGGAAAGAGAAACATAAGAAGGTTATAAAAACCTGGGCAAGTAATTTTGTGGCAGGACCAATATACAACATAAGTTTCCTGATTGGTAAGTTGTTTGCTTTGCCAAAGGTACCACCCTTTTCTCATCTATAGCCAGCTCCCAACAATATTCTCCTTTTAATTCATGTATTTCTTCAGTAAAATAATGGTATTTTCTGCAGTGTACAATTTGGTGATTCTTCAAGGTATCAGTCACACAGACTGTATCCTAACATCTCTTTATTACAGTCAGCTACCTGAGTCAATGCACACACCCTTCTCTTTCAGTATGTTTTTAAATTCTTCATATGGACGCTGATTATGAGATTCAAGATTCCTCTTTGTCTAAACCTCAAAAAAAACAAATTCAAATACAATTTTGCCTTCCTTCCTTAACTCTGTGTATTTATATTTCTAATTCACTGCTTCTATAAAGACCAGTACAATCCCAGACAAAAGATATTTCCTGCATCAGTTGGCAACATAGTGGGCTCTACGAGCACAGAAGACCAGATAAGATTTTGCAGCGTGGTTTGCTGTTGCTGAAATTCCTTCAGGCTACAACTTCAATTTTAAAATCATAGAATCATTTAGGTTGGAAAAGACCCTTGAGATCATTGAGTCCAACCGAAAACCTAACTCTGCCAAGTCCGCCACTAAACCATGTCCCTAAGCACCATGTCTACCATCTAATTAAATACCTCCAGGAACAGTGACTCAACCACTTCCCTGAGCAGCCTGTTCCAATGCTTGACAACCCTTTTGGTGAAGAAGTTTTTCCTAATATCCAATCTAAATCTCTCCTGGTGCAACTTGGGGCTGTTTCCTCTCATCCTATCACTTGTTACTTGGGAGAAGAGACTGACACCCACCTCACTACTACCTCCTTTCAGGTAGTTGTAGAGAGCGATAAGGTCTCCCCTCAGCCTCCTCTTCTCCTGGTTAAACAACCCCAGTTCCCTCAGCCGCTCCTCATAGGAATAGACTCTTCACCAGCTTTGTTGCTCTGAGGATGCATCTCAGTGTCTTTCTTGTAACGAGTGGCCCAAAACTGAACACAGTATTTGAGGTGCAGCCTCACCAGTGCTGAGTATGGGGACAATCACTTTCCTCCTGCTGGCCACACTACTTCTGGCACAGTCACAGGTTCACAAAGAGAAAGTCCTGTTTAAATAACTTGATACCCTTCTATAAGGTCACCCGCCCAGCGGATGAAGGGAAGACTGTGGATGTAGTTCTTCTGGATTTTAGTAAGGCTTTTGATACTTTTCCCTCACAGCACCCTTCTGGACACGCTGTCCAACTGTGGGACGAGCAGGTTCACAGTGTGCTGGGTGAAGAACTGGCTGAAGGGCAGAGCTCAAAGGCTTGTAGTGAATGGGGCTAAATGCAGCTGGCAACTGGTCACCAGCAGTGTTCCTCAGGGTTCAATTCTAGGGCCAGTTCCGTTCAATATATTTATTAACAATCTGGATGCAGGAGTTGAATACGCCATTAGCAAGTTTTCTGGTGATATGAAACTGGGAGGTGCTGTTGACTCTCTTGAGGGACAAGTTACCTTGCAGAGGGATCTAGACAGATTGGAGCATTGGACAATGATTAATGGCATGAAGTCTAACAAGTCGAAATGCCCGATTCTGAATCTGGGACGGAGTAATACTGGGTGCAATTATGAATTGGGAGAGGAGTGGCTGGAGAGCAGCCCTGTAAAAAAGGATCTGGGGGTGCTGGTCGACAGCAGGCTCAGTATGAGTCAGCAGTGTGCCCTGGCAGCCAAGAGGGCAAACTGCACGCTGAGGTGCATCAAACACAGTATAACCAGCCAGCCAAAAGAGGTGATTATCCCTCTGTATTCAGACTTGGTGTGGCCTCACCATCAATACTGTGTGCAGTTCTGGGCCCCACAATTTAAGAAGGATTTTAAGGTCCTTGAATGTGTCCAGAGGAGGGCAACAAAGCTCATGAAAGGGCTGGAAGGAATTTCCTGTGAGGAGTGGCTAAGGACTCTGGGTTTGTCTAGTTTGGAGAAAAGGAGGCTGAGGGGCAACCTCATTGCTCTCTACAGCTTCCTGAGGAGGGGAAGTGGTGCTGATCTCTTCTCCCCAGTATCCAGTGACAGGATGCCTGGTAATGGTTCAAAGCTGCGCCAGGGGAGGTTCAGACTTGACATTAGGAAGCATTTCTTTAGTGAGAGCGTGGTCAAACACTGCAACAGGTTTCCTAGAGAGGTGGGTGATGCCCCAAGCCTGTCAGCGTTTAAGAGGCATTTGGACAACGCCCTTAATAACATCCTTTAACTTGGTCAGCCCTGAAGTGGTCAGGCAGTTGGAGTAGACTATCATTGTACGACCCTTCCAAATGAAATTGCCTAGTCTAGTCTATTGTGATACAAGCCAGGATGCTGTTGGCCTTCTTGGCCACCTGGGCACACTGCTGGCTCATATTCAGCTGCCTGCTGACCAACACCCCCAGGTCCTTTTCTGCCAGGCAGCTTTCCAGCCACTCTTCCCCAAGCCTGTAGGATTGCATGGGGTTGTTGTGACCCAAGTGCAGGACCCGGCACTTGGCCTCGTTGAACCTCATACAATTGGCCTTGGCGCATCAATCCAGCCTGTCCAGATCCCTCTGTAGAGCCTTCCTACCCTCCAGCAGATCGACACTCCCGCCCAACTTCGTGTCATCTGCAAACTTACTGAGGGTGCACTCGAACCCCTCATCCAGATCATTGATAAAGATATTACAGAGAACTGCCCCCAATACTAAGCCCTGGGGAACACCACTTGAACATCTTTTAAATCACACAAGTCCTCAGCATCCAAGAGACTATGTTTTACCCGTGTGCTGCAGTAGTTCTGTCCGCACGAAGTACATCAAACAGGTAAAGCTCCTTCAGAAGCCTCTCGCTCTCTTCAGCAGCTTCTTCAGGAGACGGCGCCTGTAACCAGACATATGCATGTAGCACACAGACATAATACAGCTGCACTGAGGGAACTTGCTGCCTGGTGTTTAAGTTGTAATGATCACTGGGTGATCTCAGAACTAGCAAAGACCACATACAAGAAACAACAGTCTCAGGAATTTTGAAGTTTAAAAAAAAGTTATTTTTCAAGTGATTAAATTGAATCCCTTGGATTTTATGCCACCTCAGGAGAAATTCTCAGCAAATATACAGCTGTGACAACTCTCAAACTCTACACCTTGAAATCTCAGTAGAGATTTTCTGTTTAAGGGGAGAACGAGCAGCTCAAGGACTTTCTGTATAGTGAATATATTTACCTTATGGAAATATATATATCCTTGTGTCAGCTCATCTGATCCTTCTCCTGAAAAAATGACCACACTGTCCGTTTTCTTCCGTATATATTTGGAGACAAGATACATACCTTAAAAAAAAAGTATAAAGTTATTAAAATACAGCTACATGTATGATGCTATATACAGCTAGTACAGTTTTAAATTTAGCATTATAGAAGTTTCTCTCCTACACTACTTTCCTCTGTAGCAAACAACTGCAATACACTAAAATAACATCTCATTGTTATTCAAAGCCATCAACAGCCACACAAACTAAGTGCTGCAAATACATCTAAACTGTGTATTTATACTTAGCCCTCAAAATATCAGAAAGATGTGTGTGTCTGATCCTGGGAATGCTGGAGGATTCCCGTGTGAACACATATAGGAGTTACTCTGACTTAATTAAGCATGTGATTAATTCCAGCACAGTCCTGAACAAGCCTTCTAGCTTTGGAGAACAAAACTACCACCAAAAGTTGCTGCTTAATTCTCTGCCACTGTGGGTTGAATTGGATGAAGCCCTTTAATTTTTTTTTAAAGAATTATTTATTAATCAGAATTATGCCTTCCCCTCATTACATGTTTCCGAACAATGTGCTTTTATAACAAAAATATTAGAGATCTAATGAAAAGGATCTAGTTCATTATTTCTCATGCTAACCCACAATCACAAAGAAAGATGACAGATGAAAAGTTGGCTTTATTTTTTAAAGAAACACATTCATTATTTCACATTGCGAAGTCCTATCTTTGTGTACCAAATTCCACTAGGGACCTGGGTTTTCAAAACTGTTTTGCCTATTTGGCTTATTAACTTTTTTACAATGTTTTAGGCTGACACAAGATTAACTGGGTAAAATGTCATAGCTGGCATTACACAGAAGGTCACACTAGATTAGGGTGTTTCATTCTTACGCTGGTGACTTCCTTCATTTCTCAGAATCAAACATACATTATAAGAAGTCTATGTGGCTTGAGTGCATGTGTGTACTAGAGGGTGACAAGAAATACTTCACTTTAGTGTTAAAATTATGCAAGGAATAGGGTAATCATAATTGTTTTGCTATCATAATATTCAGTACCTCAGATAACCTGTAAATTTTCCCCCTTCCTCCAAGGTTCATACTTATCAGAGCAGAAAACCTAGACCTGTAGATCTAATGTTTCTTCTCATATAACTTTTGTTTTTCATCCCAAAGCTTCAGGAACAGATCTTGACAATTGTTTTATACAGTTGGTGACTTTGAAACTAATAACTGTTTTTGCCTCAGTGTGGTATCACAGGCAAGACCGGGGAGCAGAACTTAAGAGTCCCAGTTCCCAGGTTCTGTGACAGCTAAAGGATCTAGGAGATGACTACATGATTTTGCATAAAATTTTATTTGGGCTATATAAAGCAAAGATTGCTATTAAAAAAATCTTACCGATTGAAGCTCTTACTGTTGTTATATCGTAGGTTTCCAAGGAGAAGATAACCTCCTCTATTGCCTGAATTCCCTCTTCAGAATTAAATATTACTTCATGATGTTCACTGCCTATATGTGCTGCCACCTGTTTGTAAAAGGTCACAATAACATATTGCTTTTCAATTAAAACATTTTTAAAACACACATAGTGTTTAAAACACACACACTGAGTGAAAACACCAGCTCCCTTCTGCCACAGTGAGAATTATATAACATTAGGCCAAAAAAAGATGATACTGTAGCAGCCCCTGTGACTTGCAGTGGTACCTTGACCAGAGGGAACATAGTCTCCCTAATTACAGTGTTCAATCATGATTATAACAGACCATCCAGCTGCTTCCCCAAGGCATAAAGGAATCTGTAGAGGCTCTAAATACTCTGGGTATTTGCCCTGAAGAGAAAAAGCAGCTCAAAAGCCATGACAACCTGGATATCTAAAGGGTACCCCAGATGCCAAACAGTTTGTACAAGGCTCTTAATTCAGTAAACTGATGATTAACTTAAAATATTTAACATATACACAAATGCCATAGCACAGGAACCATAGCATGGAGATTTACCCTAAAACCCAGAGGCAGAATTCAGACAACTCCGAAATACCATCCTTTTGGTAACAATGCAATGGGAGTCTGTCATGGAAGTCTTCCAAATGCAAGAGAAAATAGGTAGGCTCAGTTATCTCTTTTGTAAGATTTAACTAAGCAGCAAATGTTGTACTAAATGATCTACTGCAAACTGATTTACATCATAGCAATACATGAATATTCAGTATTACTATTAATACCATATCTTGAAGGTAGCACCATTAATATACACTGTTTAGCATCCAGCAGCTCAGAACAAACTGAAAGCAATGCTTACTACACCTTTCTGGCAGCCAGTAAGTCAGGACTGTTTTCCATTCCAATTGCAAAGGTTTGTAATGGATAACTGATGTTGATTTCTTTCATCAGTTTCAGAAGAACAGCTGCAACCAAGCTGGAATCTAAGCCCCCTGCCAACAAAACAAATTATTTGGTTAGGTGTTTGACTAGTTTTTTGTTTCCCCTTAAGAACACTGAATCTAGATGGCGGAATCTTATGAGTGGGCTTCATTTTTAAGCCGTGTGAATCCAAGGTACTTCTTGTACAAGTGCACATTTACCTCTGCTTAACAAGAGAATCAGGCAACTTCAGTGGAACATTTTCAGTAACAGTTGTTAGTACTTTTGGTGTGTCAAGCATCAGTGGAAATCCTTCTTTAAGATACACAGAAAGTGTTCTGAAAACATTGTACCACTACAGAACATGCCCCTTCTCAACTCTGTTATAGTGGTATTTATTCTCCATTTCAAAACTGCTCACTATTCTTTCCTTACCTACACATTTGATACTCTACTGACAGAACCATGTAAACCTTTTTTGGGGGGGTTGCTGTCTGAATAAAAAAGAATTAAGTAGAAGAACAGAATATTTAGTGTAACGATTCCACTCTTCCCCAACCATTTTTCAAAAGTGTGTTTCACACATTTTGCGTGGAATTAATTTCTTAAATGTCACTTCAAAGTGAAAAGGTTCACTAGTGACATTCTTTTTTTTTTTTTTTTCCTCCTCTTCTTTCTCAGAGGACAGTGGAAGGATTTGAACAGTTTGGAAAACAGACAAAAAATAAACCAAGAGATGCACAAGGTTCCCAGATGTACTCTAAGCCTCCACCTTCTTATTCTTATGACCTAGTTCTGCTAATCCCTGACTAGTTCTACCTACTGCTCCCTTTTGAAGTACTGAGTAAAACACAGTACCTGTTCTCCCATGCCTGCCTGCAGTTCTGACAAGCATGAGGCAAAACCCTCTTAATTTCCTACAGCCTGTATGTGTTTCTTCAGCTGAGTGCATTACCATCCATTGCCACCCTGATCCCCTTTGTGGGCATGCTACCTTGTGAAAAAAATCTCCTTCTGTAGAAATTACATGCCTATCTGAGAAAAGGAGAGCACAGAAATCAAACTGAGTGCTTAGGATGTGGAAATCAGGGAAATCAAAACCTGAGTTTCCACTGTGAAGACGCAGAACTCCCTCCATCATTGGAAACAAAAGCAATTCTCCAACCATGATGCTCCAAGCATACTCAAAATTGTGAAATACTGAGATACTCTGGTATTATACCAGCACGAGCGCTTACTTTTGCAACTAATACATTCTGCATGTGCATCTGAGGAGCTGCTGACTGCCTTCTAATTTGATATCTGAAATTTGGTTTTTGAACAGGCTCTTTACTCAGACTGGGATCTTCCAACTCTGCGTATCTCCTTCTTTCATTTAACTCCCTCCAACTTTTTATGATGCCATAGTAAGGAAATAGTCCAACAGTATCTCCTAGTCAGTTCTCTCTCATTCGAATGCACATTTAATAGGGTTCATGATAAATGAGTACAATTACTGATGTTCAAAGCCAACCAAATCCTGGGCTGCATCAAAAGAAGCATGACCAGCAGGTCAAGGGAGGTGATTCTGCCCCTCTACTCTGCTCTGGTGAGACCCCACCTGGAGTACTGTGTCCAGCTCTGGAGCTGTCAGCACAGGAAAGACATGGACCTGTTGGAGTGGGTCCAGAGGAGGGCCACAAAAATGATCAGACAAATGGAACACCTCTCCTACGAAGAAAGGCTGAGAGAGTTGGGGGTTGGTCAGCCTTTACCTCACCTGAAAAAAGAGTGTAGCAAATAATTTTGGTCCAGATGCTCCCCTCCAATTTGGTGAATCAAGGGCAGTCTAAGATGGAGGCTAAAGCAAAGAAGGCGACAAGTAAGAACTTCAGTTCCTCCTGCGAGCTGAACATGCCAAGGCCGCCTTCTATGTTCACTCAGTGCACAGTGAATCTAATAATTACACTTTATTTTTAGACACCAACCTAAGCATAAATCTTAAATGTTTAAGAATATATTGGGTGATTTTTCACTAAGAGTATTGTATTTCTTTCTTAGTCAAAAATGGTCAGTGTCTCAACAAGCCAACATCCCATCCCGGAGTAAACTTTAAAAGCGTAAGACTTTCAAGATACTTGTAAACTGGAAAACTTTATCACAAACTAACAAGTTCTCTGTAACTAAAAAACAAATGAAGATTCAGATCACTTCAGGTACATCACAGCAGAAGAGCCAGCATACTTTCTTCTAACTGGTAGAATATGGGCGAAAGAGAGAGAAGAGACAAGAATTGTGATTCTTGCTACTTACCTGACAAAAGACAACCAATCCTTCTGTGAGCCATCAAACGTTTTCTAACAGCATTTTCAAACAGAATACGGATGTTGCTTTTCACTGTTTCAAGATCCAAGCCTGTCCAGAAAAGAAGAGAGAGGGGGGAAAAAAAAATCCAAGCCCAAGAAGCATTACTTACACTTTGTTGGATTATGCAATTAGGAAAACAAAGATGTTTGTCTGAATTTCCTTTGATAATGAGGGCATGCAAGTTCAGATATCTTTGTACACGACTGTCTACAAAACCAATTCTCAAGTTCCTACATTATAAAGATTCTTCCGTTTTTTTTTTTAAATAGCATTTGTTTAAACTAATCAATACAAATTTTATATTCAAAGATTGTATGTTTTTCACTTTTTAATTAGAATAAGTAGTGAATGCTTTGCTGTACTACCTGAAGGCAGAGTTTCCACTGTATCACACGCAGCATGGAGTGGTTCATCTTTATAGCTATGAAATTTTACTACCTCCACTGATGCAACCTTGCCAGAGGGCTTTAAATCCAACACTTCATAATGACCCGGGAGAAATGGTTCCACTTTAGGACATAAGGATGTTGAATGCTTTAAGTTGATAAGTCCTACAGATAAAAAGGGAAAAAAAGTCTGAGTTTTTAACCTGGGATGGTTAAGTTCTATCTCACTCAACAGCCTCTATACTAAAACTATATACAAACATATTCTCCAGATCCTAAATTTGGTAATAAAAAATATCATTCTGAGTCCGCCCTGGCTGAAGCATGATTCTGCTTCTGGCAGGCTGCACACACAGATGAGAGCCATCTCAAGCTGAGGCAGATAGCAGAGAAAGGAAGCCAGCAAGTTTTACTAATTGGTAAGTAGCAATTTACTCCTGTGAGCGTTAAGAAGAGCACTTTTCTAACTGATTACATGATGTCCAGGTCAAGGTGTAATATGCTTATGAGAATTCAAATGACAGTTAATAACTGATTTTGTGTTTAAAATTAAGTGTAGTTAAGCTAACAAGGGGTTTGTAATAAAACTACATCACTGAAGTGACTGCTTAATTGACATTGGTTTAGTGGTTTGATAACTCATCAGCTCCAGGCTGATCTACACCACTGCTAATGAATGCCAAGAATCAAACTTGTAGCCAAACCTCATTTCCATTCCTCTTGTGAAAGAGGATGTTTTGCACCTGCTGGTCACCTGGATGCCCCTTGAGAAACTCCACAAGAAAGATACAGAATTGCTGTTAGAGAGGGACCGGTAATTCACTGTGATGGTTATAGGACACAGTCCCTAAAACATTCACTTCCCTTCTTTCTTCCCAAGAAGCAGAGATGGTACAGCTCTTAGTGCTAGTACTTAGTACTGCTATTAGAGGAGTCAACCTACTTTGGAGTCTGATAACAAAACTGATACACAGTAAATGGAAGACGCACAAGTAATCGTGAAAGTCAGTTTTAGCCAAAGTGCATTTTAGGCAATAAACTCCGTTTTGGCACTGTTTGGATTTGTTTATGCAAGTGTCAAGATTAGGAATAATTACTTAGAAAACAAACAAACAACAACAACAAAAAAAACCCAAACAAACAAACAAGAGTAGTGGATGTGTCATCTCAAAGGAAGAAAAATTGTCATCAAATAAACTAAGTATCACTAGAAAATTACTGAATGCCACAGGAAATTTCAGTAGGGTTTTAAAATTCTTGGCTTTTACAGATTAGCAGTTCTTGTGGCATTATTTCCCAGTTCACCATAGAATGCCAGGAACAAATTCTAATATAATTTATTGTAGCATAAGTCTAGCCTAACTCTATAGACTACATTTAACTTCAGGGTAACATAAAACATCTTGGGCTCAATACTGCTATGATTCCAGAACACAAAGAATTATAAAATTAAATAAGCAAGTTATTTTAGAGATATTAAGGAAAATTAAACATCTTAGAGGTTTACTGTCTGTGGTTTTTGTTTTAGTGATGTGTAGTTCTTATACTACTAAATATAGTTCATTTATTACTGAACTTACAGTTCACTTTCACTTCACGCTTAGAAGAAAAGCCTGACAAAGAAGTTTGTCTCCGACAACAATACCTAAGATTATTTAGGCACTAAACACAACTGGTTTTACCTTTTGCCTCAGAACAGACACCCAAAAATCCATCATCAGTCAGCACCTTAAACAGTGGTCTGACTCCATAGGTATCTCTCGCCAGAAACACTTTTCTGTTTGCAGTATCCAGAAGGATGAAAGCAAAGACACCATCTAGCATGGATGCTGTTTGTTCTATTCCTCCTCTGTTGTAAAGATGAAGGATAACCTCACCATCCACTAATGTTTGATATTCAAATCCAAACTGCTTCTGCAACTAAGAAAAAATATAAAGAAAAGCATGAATTAGCATTTGCAAACATTGACTGCTTATTAATTGAAAAAACAACATGCATGTAATTGTTTAATAAGAAAACTGAGGTTTTTTTGTAAAATCACAGTTCAAAAGTTCTAGAAACATTTCTGCCAAAGAAGGAAATTACACTTTTGTGTTCAAAATATCATCCAGGATCATCTCTCCAACAATGTAGATTGACTCTGCAGTCTTAAGCAATTCACATTATAGCAAGTTTTCAGGGATACATTTCTATTTGAGGATGTCAAACTGCAAACCCATGACCATGGTTTTCAGAAGCACTGGACTCCCCATCTCCCACAGACAAATGGCAGAAGCAGGCACCCACTGCTTCTAAAAAACCAACTCAAAATAGGACCAGAAACAAAGACATCATTTCTTGTAGTCTCAAATCACTCAGTACCACTTTCTTATCAGATAATAATGACATTTACATAAGCCCCTTACCCCCCAAAACACAGAGACACTGGTAACTTGAGAAAAATACTTCAGAAATAAACTGGTTTACTTATGCAGTCACTGCAATTCCTCAGTGGTTTTTTTATGCAGAGAATTTCCTTCTGCCTAATCTTCCTCCATTCCTCAAACTAACCTTTTCACTCTGGCTGTGCAGATGGAGTGGGGAAGGAAGAAATTAGCTGTCAGACTTAAGTCAGACCAAATATTCTTCATGTTCTTGTGGTGCTACTCTTAAAGTTCTTTCAGTATCTACCAGACAGGGGGAAAGAGGGGGTTTCGGTAAAACACTAAAAAGCCAAGAAACCCCACAAAACCAATGCTTCAGCATTTTAACTTAAATTCTTTGGGTTTAATTGCTAATTATGGGGCAAAGTCTTGGATCAAATTGAGTCAATATTAAAATAACTAAGTCATTGCCCTAAACAAAATGCCTGTTTCACCAATGACCCTTTCCTAGGTAGGTTTCAGCCACAAGCCTGAAATAAAAATCTCTTTATAAAGAAAGAGGGTTCATAATGCAGGGAGAACAACCAGATTCCTGCGAATGGCAATGCAAGCTTTGCGTAGTTAAATTCCCCTTAGGATTCTGCGTGTAGCACGATTGAGAGTAATTCTTACTGCTTTCAGCAGCAGAAAAACCACAATGCAAAACACAGCAAGTATTACAGACTGTTGGTACAATACATTTCACATGGACTGCAGGGCCAGATACTTAAAAGATTGGGGGTGGGGGGAAAGATCTCCTGCCTATTCAGTCAAATTCCCAATGATGTTACTGATGTCACTGGCATCACTGACAGTAGCCTGACTCCGACTATCAAAAATGTGATGTTAGAAGTACCAAGACATCTCAGATTATTCATACGTTTCTGATACTACCACGCTCAGTTTATGATTCATTTTAAGCATTCAGTTTCAGCATGATTCAGAGACAGCCACAATTGTAAGCTGCTTTATATGCCAAATTTGGATGATGTGAATGTGCTGGGTTTGGCTGGGGTAATTTTCTTCACAGTAGCTAGTATGAGGCTACGTTTTGGATTTGTGCTGGAAACAGCCTTGTAACACCGGGATGTTTTCATTACTGCTGAGCAGTGCTTACACAGTGTCAAGGCCTTTTCTGCCTCTCACCCCACCCCACCAGCGAGTAGGCTGGGGGTGCACAAGAAGTTGGGAGGGGACACAGCGGGGACAGCTGACCCCAACTGACCCAAGGGATATCCCACACCACATGATATCATGCTCAGCGTATAAAGCTGGGGGAAGAAGGAGGAAGTGTGGGATGTTTGGAGTGATGGTGTTTTTTCTTCCCCAGTAAGCGTTACGTGTGATGGAGCCCTGCTTTCCTGGAGATGGCTGAACACCTGCCTGCCGATGGGAAGGAGTGAATGAATTAACTGTTTTGCTTTGCTTGTGTGTGCGGCTTTTGCCTTACCTATTAAACTATCTTCATCTCAACCCATGAGTTTTCTTACTTTCACTCTTCCAATTCTCTCCCCCATCCCACTATGGGGGGAGTAAACGAGCGGCTGTGTGGTGCTTAGTTGCCGGCTGGGTTAAACCATGACATTGAATCACTTCCCTTTACAAGTAACACAAGCAGCACGGACATCTCAGCACAGGGACTGAGGCACACAGACGATGTTCAGCAGCAGTATCACACCCATGAGGGACATTCAGACACTTCAGGAAGTACAGAGTTGCTGCTTGTTTTGTGCCCAAGAGACTCACTTAGGTGGCTCTCAAAAACCCCACAAAGCATCTGCCTAAAGCTGCAGACACCTAAGAACTTTGGTGGCATACTGGAAACATCTCCCTAGCACTTGCTGTTTTTACATAAATACATAAGCATGCATGATATACATTAATATAAGTGACATATCCCATCTAGATTAATACGCAGAAATAAAAGTGCAATACCCAACAGCTTGGAGAACGGCCCAAAATAACTGAAGAGCAAGACAGTCTAAAAGCATTTGCATTATAAAGAGAGAAGAAGGGGAAAAAAAGCCTTGGAATTCTCTTCCCCAAGAGATAACGAAAAATGCATCTTCAGTTTAAACTGATCAAACCTGAAGATACAAATACTTATTGCTCTTCTTGTTAATTAAGAATTGATTTTTCAGTATTAAAGGTCCTGGTTTTGGCTGGGAGAGTTAATTTTCTTCCTAGTAGCTGGAATAGTGCTGTGCTTTGGATTTAGTTTGATAACACATTAATGTTTTAGTTGTTGCTAAGTAGTGCTTATGGTAGTCAAGGACTTTTTCAGCTTCCCATGTTCTGCCAGGGCCACAAGAAACTGGGAGGGGGCACAGCCAGAATAGTTGATCCAAACTGACCAAAAGGCTATTCCATACCATATGACATCATGCTCAGTATAGAAACTGGGGGGAGTTGGCCAGGAGGCTGAAATCGCTGCTTGGGAACTGGCTGGGTATCGGTCAGCAGATGGTGAGCAATCACTTAAAAAGAAGCATCACTTTTTTGCATATTATTATTATTATTTTGCCTTCCTTTTCTGTCCTATTAAACTGTCTTTATCTCAGCCCATGAATTCTACTTTTTTTTTTTCCCAATTCTCTCCCCCATCCCCACTGGGTGAGTGATGAGTGAGCGAATGGCTGTGTGGTGTTTAGTTGCCTACTGGGTTAAATCACAACAAAGACTAAGTATGTTACTACCTAAGCCACCACAGATTCACAGCTCATCGAGACAATTTACTTCCTTTTAAATACTAGTCATTTGATAACTTTTTAAAGTTTTTCTGATATTCTAGTCCGCTGTGTTTTAAACATTTTCCAAATATCCACTAGTTCTGAAATTAAAAAAAAAAAAAGGAAAAAAAGAAAATACCATATGATCCAAACAACACTTACCTGTTTGAAATTGTAGATTTCTCCATTGTAACACAGCCACAGATAAGGGAATTTCTTCACCCGGATAGGCTGCATGCCATATAACTGATCAACAATCGCAAGGCGGTGGAACCCAAAACAACAGTTGGTGAATCCATTGACGTTCTCAAAACGAAATGCATCAGGACCTCTGTGTGCTATCTTCATGGCACTTAGACACTGGACAGAAAGGCATTCATCACTCCCAAACAGGGCCCAGATACCACACATGGTGACGCTGTTGGTCTACCTGAAAGTGGAGAACCTGTTCAATAAAGACATGAACACTCTAAGCAAGAGCTGACATCTAGAAAACACAGATAACAAATGTAGACTAGTAATAGCTTAACTGTCAAGAGGACTGATCAAAAGAACAGCAGACTTTACTAACATCAGGTAAAACCCGGTTTGCCCAGACCTTTGGCCAGCAAGAAAGTTGGCTTTAGTTTACCTTTAGGTACATCAAGGTTGTCTACAATTTTTTTATAGAGCACAAATAGAACAAAATCGTTATTGGGCATTGGGTATGATCTGTTGAAGTAATATCATCTCAGCAGAAATGTTAACAGTCCTTTCAGTATAAAAAGGGGGCTTGTAAGAAAGACTGGGAGAGGCTTTTTACTGAGGCCTGTAGCGACAGGACAAGGGGCAACAGTGTCAAAGAGGGTAGGTTTAGACCAGGCTTCCCTAGAACCATGGGTGGCCCAGATGGGAAAGGTGTTGGAGGGAGCAACGTTGGTGCAGTGCCGTGCTCCCCTTGGCATGCCTTTTGCAGCCCCAGCGTCCCTGGAGATCTAGGCCTTGTAGCTCTCTGAACCCTAACCCTAACTAATGGTAGGGCTGAGGCTGGGGACCTGCAGGTCAAGCGATGGTGCTGGGGACCTCAGCCCCA